AGGAGGCATAATCTGATTGAAAAGATGTTTGGTGAAATTTGATGTCAAACCATGCAGAGTTTAAAGTTGTAAGTAATACCTTGAATTGAAACTAGTACACTTGAAGCCAAGTCCAGTGCCCCTAAAGTCCAATGCATTTAAAAAAAAAACTGTGTTGAACCTGATGCTTCATTAGTAGATAGGCTGCCACATTTTGAATAAGAAAATAATCTTCAAGCCTGTATACACTATGTTACAATATTCTATGTATGAGGCATGGGTAATTGTTGCCTAGCAGATTTGATGGAAATGGGTTACAAAATAACATATTCACTTTAGCATGGATCATGAACCTGGGAGGACCTTGGATCTAATCCAAAAGAAAGCTGGAAACCATGATCAAGTCAGAATTATCACTTGCAACTTTCTCTTGGTGGGATTAAACCAAGCTTTTTTTTAATCATTCGAGCTCCATGGTCATCAGACACCAGGCCAGGATTTCCATTGCATCCCTGGTCCGACTTGGGGTAACAAAATAGATGTGTATCCTGACCATATTGATCATCTATCATACAAAATCATTGACTTCTCTCAATGGCTTCAAAGAGATCCTAAGTAACATGGCCCCCTTGGGGGCTCATACTGGAGTAAAAATCATGCAACTGCTCTTTTCCTCAAACAAACTGATTGGAACTGTCTGTCTAGGAAAGAACAGAGACACTGTAATTCATAGCCTCAAACTGTAACTCTTGCTGCCAGTCTGAAGGAGATATAATTTAACCAGAACCTACCTCAATTTTGACCCAAAGGCATATGTGTATCGTTACCACCACAAAATTAAAATTAGGTAGGGCATGGACCAAGGATATAGATAGATTAATTCCAGGGCTTTTTTTGTCATCGAACACCTAGAACGGAGTTCCGGCACCTTTTTTGGATGGAACCTTGTAGGGTAGGCAAGGTGGTCTGTATGACATATGTGAGTTCCAGCACCTTTTTTATTTACAAAAAAAAAGCACTGATTAATTCTATTTACATCCTTGGTCTACAGAAGTTTAATACAAAAAAAGATCCTGATCTTATTTCAAGTGTCTATCCAATCTGGGTCAAGCAAAAGATTTTATCAGCAAAATAACTCACACATATATCACAGTATCATATAGAAGGAATCTTCATTCCATTTACTGAGTAGGGAGTGAGTATCTGAAATGAGCCCCTGGATATGAATTGGCAAGTGTAGTAAGGAGGAGTAAGAATACTTTATCATGTTTAACACCACAGTATACTTTCAAATATGGTTATCCATCTGCGACTGATGGAATACATACTTCAAATTTCTTTACCATCACACTAGTTTCTCTTTACTCATTTCATGTCCTGCAGCAACTCAGAGAACAAGGAATTTCTTTTGAAATTATGGTGCTATAACATTATGCACAGCATCAGACCTAGGAGAAAGATGTTGTTTGGTTTGAAATGTGTAACTCAAATGGAATGTCTGCAAACCATAGTCAGCGATTCAAATATCACTTAGAGTGAACAGGAACACCAAGATGAATCCTAGTCTGGAGTTTAAAACAACAGAGGCAACACTACAGATTTAATGAAGCAGTTGAAACAATAGTAAAGAAGTAAGCTAAAGGTCAGGAGTTCAAGGAAGAGGTTAGAATAATGTTTAGGACTTATATACAGAAACCTTGCAGGCTTCACACATAGAAGACTACAATACATGTTCCACAACATTTTTTTTAATCAAGATTTTTTTATGCAAAAGACTGCACTTGAACTCAGTTGATTAATCCTTAATGGAATGTGTTCTGTTTTCTGCTTGGTTCAGCATTGAAGAGGCAGTAATAGAAACAAGTACTTCTTTATTGAAGGTCAAAACAGAAACTAACAAGCATTGCTCCACCCCTATTTATACAGTCAACTCTGGGAGGCATCAGCCAATGAGAGCACAGTATTCTCCCGCTCAAATGCGTAATAAACAGTCTTGTAGACAGCAAGTCTGCCTAGCAGGCCACGTGGTCTGCTAAATGTTCCTGCACAGATCTCAGCAACCTGTTCCATAATTTAACTCAATATATTACAGAATGTAACTTTGTCAGGAAAAAATATGACTCTAAACAAGTCTTTATTATCAAAGAGTCCACAACTGAATCCTTGCACTTCTGCACTAATACTGCATTATCCTGCAACAATGCCATCATTGTGGAACGATTGTCTGATCTACAGGTTTGGAACGGGTTGTATGAAATCATGTTGTCTCTGTCCCTGGTCATATCTTAGAGTGAGATCTTTTCTTTTTTCTTTTCCTTTCCTTTTATTTTCTTTCTTTCTTTTTGACTCTGTGGTTTTCTTCTGTTACATAAAAAAGGTTTCCCCCTTTTCCTCTGAAGTAGATTCCTCAAAGAGCTTTGACAGGAGCCCATTTAATAATGACATCATTACCTATGTCCAGATGACATCCGCTTATTTTGCAAAGAGGAGGTGTAGTGAATGCCCTACTAGTTATTATGAATCAGTCTAGGAGTAACATCACTTTTCTATTTTTTTACAGTGCTTTTTGTAACATTTTTTCTCTGAATTTGCACCATTATTTGCTGGTTTCACTAGCTATATGGTTCAGCAGAGCACTGTTGTATCTGTGACCTGAATTAATTTATGCTACAGGATGTAACATAACCATATTGGCTGTATGATCTACACATAATACATCTTGAATGTGAAGGATCAAGACCACAAGAGAACTGCACAGCAACAATGCATAATATGCATTTTTTGTACTTTAAAAAAACCCATAAAATTTAAAATCGTCATACTTAAAATGAACATATTTTAACTGTTCACTGTTCACTTAAATATATGTGACAGAAAACAAAAAAATCTAGTTTTATATTTCATAGTGAAGTTAAAAACCTGGCAAGTGTATATTATGCAGCTTTGCTCATTTATTCAAAATTTCATATTTCCATTTGGTGAAGAAATGTTTCCTAATGTTAAGCATTATATACTATTGCTAAATAATCTGCTATTCCAAAAATACAGAAAAAATTATCTCATAATTAAGACTGATTTGTGCTCTCAAAAGAATCCGGTCTTTGGAATAAATTCCTATTAGCTTTAATACCAGGCACTGATATTCAAGGGCATCTTAATTCTGATTTCCATATGGAAGGGGATATCATAGTATAAGCTTCATAGAATATATTTGGTTATAGTTGTTTAGCCAACTGTATTCTATGCAACTGGGACAAGTGACTTATCAATATCTCCAATTAAGTAGTCCATCAGACTTCAATTAATTATTTTACGATAGCAGCATAACCTGGTAGATGGATACAGAATCTTAGTAAATTCTTTTATCTCCCAATGATTACCATTCTTAAATCAAATTTGTTGCCATGCTGTACTCAGAATACCTGTGTTCTTATATTTGCAGAGATTCTGGCTGTGATTGGATTTCATTAGTTTAAGCAAGAGGCAACTGGACTTTCTTTGTTTTTACTTGAAGACATTTTGCTTCTCATCCAAAGAGCTTCTTCAGTTTTTTTATTTGCCCATTTAAAGCAAGCTTCTAAATCTAATCCCATAGACTTAGGGTTATACATCTACAAATTATATTTACAATAGTCCTCTACTTACAACAGATTGTTTAATGACTATTCAAAATTACAATGGCACTGAAAAAGTAATTTATGACCATTTATCACACTAATGACCATTGCAACAATCCCTGTAGTCATATGATCAAAATTCAGAAGGTTGGCAACTATTTATGACAGTTGCAGTGTTCCACGGTCATGTGATCAACTTTTGTAACCTTCTGACAAGCAAAATCCATGGGCAAGCCAGATTCACTTAGCAACCATGTTACTAATTTAACAACTGCAGTGATTCACTTAACAACTATAGCAAGAAAGGTCATAAAATGAGGCAAAACCTACTTAATGTCTCAGCAGCAGAAATTTGAGGCTCAATTGTGGTTGTAAATCGAGGATTATCTATACTTTATCCATGGATTTTATACTAATTACATTGACATGACTTAAATGTAACAGTATAAAGTGTCATTTACAAAATGCAAAAGAAGGATTTATACTTCATTGCAGGCCAAGCAACTATAGCCATCAATTTGCTGTGTTTTTTATGGTGATTTGTCTAAGTCTTGATTTAAAGATTTAAGATTAAATTCTAATATCTTCTCTCTTTGTTTATTCTGATATGGAAAAACCTTTGTAGCACTGATCACAACATACATTGCACCGAATAATTATTTTGTAGAGAGTGAAATTTATTGTTTTAAATAGTATCATAAAAGATGTAATGTGGATAAATTGCTTGCTGCAAGGACAATGTCATTATTCTAGAATGATCCTGGCTGACATCTGAGTCCCCAATATTAATGTCAACTCCAAACAAAATAAAATTCTAGAAATTTAGATATTTTGGGAAGCTGGTTCCATAAATGACAAAAGATATATAGATATTTTGCTTTTAAAATGGCTGTTAAATTTAAGTAGTGAAAGCATAGTAGGCTTTATTTTCACAGAGCGGACATTCTTTTTGTGGGTTTGCATTATACATTTGTTACTGTTTTGTTTGTTTTCATATCTAATGACTATAATGAGCAAAATTTAGATATGGCCCCATCACAAAAACAGACAAGACTATTTTATGGAATTTCTTAATTTTGTTTCCTTTTGGGAAAGAATTACTTGACTTGCAAAAAAAGAAATGCCTCTAATTCTCAATGTTTGATTAATTTTGATAGTATAATCAGAAGAGTATTTAGGGACTAAAAAAAAAGCATTTGAAAGGCTACTATGACAGTGATGTATGAAAAAAACATTAATTTATTTTTCATATGTTGTAATTTCCACTGCTGGTGAACCACTATTTTGTTAATATTTATCTATTACTAGTAAAACTGTATGGTGTAGTTTTCATCAATCTTCACAAATCAGTTCTGGTTTATAAAGATATAAACGCAACATGATATGTTAGAATGTACAAGAACAGCTTACCAGTACTACTGGACAGATTGAGGAGGGAGGTAGAATGTGATCCTTCAGAATGCCACAATCACATTCAGGCTTTAGATGTGAAGCACACTTATTATGTAGCTGTAACAAAAAAAGAGATAAAAATATCACTATGGATTAAACATTAATGAATTTAAATATGGCTAAAACAAGATTAGAATTACTATGTTTCAACAATCAACAATCAAACAAATGCAACAATCACAGAAATCTGTTTTATTTTTATAATTATAATATAACTGATAAAGGAAGGTTATAAAGTTGACTTCTTTAAAGGCCGTTGTTAACAAACAGTTGATGATATAAAACTAAAAGAGTGACATCCTATTCTATGTTTTCTTATATTTTCTATATCATTTGTTAGAGTGTATGTATTTCTGCATAATCTATCTTTTTGTATAGAAGCTGTGATCAATTTACATTGGGTTAGTTATTTAACACAAGGACAAATCTATGAGATATATTGGGATGACAGAAAACAAAGTGACTAGTAAGTTTTTATGGCTAAGAGACACCTATTCTTATCCTATCATACTAATCTCTGGTTAGCTGGTTGTGATGTTTAAAGTGAAGCATTTTTTATCTATTGTAACAAACTGAAAAAAGGTGCTACTCAAACAGAATCCACACGCCTTCTATAAAAGCAACAGTACTTATATACTGCTCCACAGTCTTTTACAGCACTCTTTGAGCGATATACAAATATCAGCATATTGTTCCCAACAATCTGGGTACTCATTTTACCAATCTTAGAAGGTTGGAAGGGTGGCACCCCCCCCCCAAAATAATCCCCTTGCATTCTAGTAATTGCTTTCGAGATAAGAATTTGAGCTTTTTCTCAATAACAGTTATTTTTGTAACTGTTGTTGCTGTTGCTGCTGATGGTAACATGTTAGAAGTAATATTTTGTTTTACGTGTATAGCTAATGCTATCACCCTTGTGAATAAATAACTCACAGACGGGATGAGATTGCTGCCAGTCCCACATTTTTCATCAGCCAACTGGATTAAATATTGTGTACACAAACATTGTTACACATACATAGATATACAGAGAAAGGAGTGAGGAAACAGCATTTATAGATCTTCTGGTTATGCAATGGTTTATACAATAATATTTCCATATCCTAGTTTAAATCAATAGGAAAAAAATAAAACTTTCAGAATTTATTGTATTGTTGATTAAACTAAACAAATGCTATTAGCACATCTTAAACATATTTAATGAAGAAGTAGTCCCATAATTAAACCTTTGATTTTTTAAAAAAAATAATGTTTTAACTGCAATCTTATAATAATCCTTAAGATGTCTATTCAGAACTAAAGCCTGCATAAATCAAATGAAATTATGACTGAAGTAGTGCATATAGTAAACTCACTTATCTGAAAAAAGTCAAATACTATTTACTCAAATTGAGTAAATAGAGAAATGCATTATAAAATGTTTAAATTTGTTATATATAAGTAAATTGAAAACAAACTTTTTGACAACTTTTGATCATATATAATGTTGCTTGGGCTTTCCTCCTAATGTATGAAGCCATTGATTTTATTAATATTTATAGTGTGGATATTTTATTATTTTTAATGTTCTATATTGTCATCATTTTGTTTTAGGGATGTAGAAATATTTATAATAAAGTAATAAAATAAATAAATAAACAAACAAACAAATAAATAAACAAAAGTGAACTATAATAGCATTAAATGTCTACCACATTAATATCCAAATAAAATGATTGGGAAATAAATAATTGTTGACTAACATGAGGTGGATAATTTAGCCTCTGGGTTCATTTGCCATTAATTAGCATAGTTTTATATCAATATTTTTTGCTATCAGATATGCCGGTTTTAATTACTGGGAAATATCCTAACAAATTAGGCATACAAATTGGATGTACAACATACTTAATAGGGAGCACATAAGTATTTGCTTTAACAGGTGATCTTCCTCAATACAGTAAAATATGTTCTCTAGCAGCTGTTCCATAAATCACTATTCTCTGGTTTGAATGAATGATTTAATTTTCTTTGGATAATATATCCATGTTTATGATACGAGATTGATATATCAAACTTATGATATATTAGTTTTAATATGAAATATGCACCTTTTGCCAATTACATATTCTTTAGACAGATATCTAGTAAAAGATAATTTGACTGCTATATTTTTGAATTTGAAAATGATTGGCAACTAATAACACCCCTGTATACATTAATCATTCCTGCAAAAATACTTTTTCTGGCAGTTTCCTAGCAACAGAAAAGAAGTATAGCATTTTTTTTTCTCCTCAAGTACCAAAGTTTTATTTGGGTTGCCTTATAATCTAAAACATTTTTATGTTAATTCTCATTTGTAATAGTGAAACCACATTTACCATAATGAAGGTACATTAAGCCATGTACCATCCAATTGAAGCATCCTTACATATGAGGTGATAATTAACAGTTCTCCTACTTAGTAGCATGCTATCAACAGCTTAATCTTCTTATTAGGCAGTACTGATCTTTGAGAAAACAAGTAAGATGTAAAAGGGGTTGTTTAACATTAGATTACAGAGTGCATAACAATATGATAGAATAACATTACAGAAACACATGGATTATCTCATGAAGAATATGTAACTGCAATTAGTGTTTCTACCACAAGTACTTAGGATGTATTTTTTATTTTTTCAGAAAATCCTTTGAATGTTTTCTTCCTCATTTATTTTATATATATATATATATATAATTTTTATTTATTTTTCTTAGTCCAAGACATTGACCACCAGGTTCTCATACAATATTTATTTCTACAGAAAACTATAAATGTTGTCTGGGCTTCAAAAGGATTCTTAATAAAAAAAATAATGAAGAGCAGAAATCCAGTGATGTATTTTGAAATATTTTAGTAGATGGCAGAAATGGCAAAGTTAACTGCACTAGTTAGGGACAAGAATGTAAATAGTTTTGTGGTTACTCACTTCTGGACTTTCTGTGTGAAAGTGGGGGAATGAAATGTTTGCTTTGGGTTTTGACAATACTGTTATAGAAATGGCTAGTAATTACTATTTGGTATAACTAAAAAGTTGATACTATAACTTTATTATGTATCTCACTGCACTAAAAAAAGTATAAACTCATTGCTTCTTTCTTTTTTATTTACCTTTTCTATCCCCTTTCCTTTTCCTCTTTTTTTTTAAACCCATGAGGCAAATAGGACATGTAGGTTTTTAACCTGTGCTGCCTTTGTGCATTTATTCTGATGTGGAAATGGCAAATATTAGATTTGTTTGAAAATATTATTATAGGGTACAGGAATGCTATGTATTTTGTTTGACATTTGATTATGATATTACTGTTTGATTTCTGTATTTTATTCGTACTTTATTTTTATCTTCTAGATATGTATTTATTATAACTATGGATGATTAAAGCAGTCTTAGAGCCTTTGTGTGTGCAAATGAGAAAGTCACTTGTTAAAGTCAATTTTTAAAAATCCAAATGAATTAAGACTCACCTTAGCAACAAACCGAGGTTGCTCCATTTTTTTAATGTCATTGTCATAAAGAAATTGTGTCATCTTACAATTGTACATATGCAATTATTTTTACTATTTACTATTTTTATTTTGGTGATAACATTTATGGATGTTTATTTGTTTATTAATCAGTTCTATTTGTTGCCACTATTATAATATCACTTAAATTGTTTTAGTAGCGGTAGCTAGATACAATGCTATAATATCTCAACTTTCACTATCACTATTATTGGTATTACTGCTAATACTTACTGTGGTTTGGCACCATACACAATGTAACCCAGTCAATCCTTGGTAACATTTTATAGTTTTATGACATTTATCACATTTTGTTGGACAATTTCCTTCCACCCAAAAGTGATGCATAACCTAGAAAAAGACAAAAGGAAATTATTTTTACCCAATTTGTACCAAATAAACTACTGCCAGATAAAGAAATATTATGACGTTCAATAGTTAATGCACTGAAATAAACATCAGATCAATATCCAGATGTTAAAAGTGTTTAAAAACTAAAAAAAACAATACACCTTACTAAATAGTAAAGCTCTCACTTGCTTTCCACTATGTTTGAAGAAAACATTTTCCAGATAAAATTATTAATCCTGAGGATTTGCTATTTGTCTTTCCCAAAATGGGTCTCATGAATAACAGCTCCAAAAAAATGACCTTGAATATTTTTTTTAAAAAAAATAAACGGATTCTATACTTCAGCTATGCTGTAATGTTTAAAGTGTAAAAGAGTTAAGTAAGAACTGGGAAATTTGTGTATGTGCGCACCTGTATAAATGGGGCCATATGCACCCACACAGTGCTAGTGGCCTTGTTTGTGTAGGCGTGCAGGCACTAGCCACCGCTGCTAGCCCCGTGTGCATGCACAAATGGGCTGTGCAACTTGCATGATGCAAGCAGCCCCGTTTGTGTATGTGCACAGTGCTAGCTGCCACTAGCCCAAATGGGCTGTGTAATCCGTGCATGCACTAATGGCCCCGTTTGCGCAGATGTGCAGGTGCTAGCCACCATCTCTAGCCTTGCTGCATGCACAAATGGGTCCATGGGCACTAGACCGAGTGAGGTTGAGAGCCCATGGCCCAGTGGCCAGTAGCCGTGGCCCAATAGGGCCCATGACCCATAGGCTGGGACCCTGTTTTAGACAACATTGCTTCCCCAATAGCAGCAGAAAAGTATTTTTTTTTATTACAAAGTAGATACCATTGCAGCTTGTATTCTTTAATCTGTATTTTTCAGTAATGTTGAATATGTAATTCCTCAAAAAACATGCAAACTAGCAATTCTGGAAATTCCAATTCTAATGCCTTTAGAGGTCCATACTTTTAGATATTTATCAATTTGCTCAGATAAAAATACAAAATCTAGACTTGTATTTCAATATGCATGGGATATAAAGAAATCTCAAACTGGCTATCAGAACTACTCCTAGGAAGGCATCTAGAGCAAGAATGTCCAAGGGCATATCCAGATAGCTTCATTAAGTGTAACTGTCCATGCCATGAGCTGACATAAACATATGTTGAATGATCATTGCTGATCTCTTAAATTGAGGCTGGGGTTGCCCTTATTGATTTAGCATGCAACAACTTAATAAATGTAATTTGTGGATTTATTTTCTCTTCCATCAAACATCACTTGCTAATGAAGAAAACAATCACCAATGCTCTCCATAACATAAGGTAGCATACAAATTTGGCAATCATACGTAAGTATTTAGAATAACTGGCATGGTCACACAATCAAGTTGCCACACTATTAGATATCAAGTACATAGATTGTACTTGCATCTGGGCTAGTTCTGAATACAGGTTCAGAGTAATGATGAAATTCATGTCCAAAAATAGCAGGCTGAGAAGTCACGATTATGGAAAAGAAGAGCGCCACTATAACCAAGTTGTATAATAGAACAGGAGAAATGGCAGCACAAAGAACTAATTTCTGGAGTAGGCAAAAGGTTGTAGCCTTTGTCCTCCACCAGAATAATAAAATAGTAAAAAGCAGAAGCCACACAAAATTCCTTTATCAGCAGAAAAATGTAATGCAGTCACTGGTGACAGAGATGACAAATCTGGATTTTTTACCTAGTCAGTTGACTTTCTGTGCAGCAGAAGATAAGCTTTCAGAGTTCTGGTCTTATTTTTAAAACATGGGTCTTGTGCTCTCTTGAAGGAATGCTAAATTGTTGTATATAAGGAGGGAACTTACAAGTTCTAGCAAGCACTTCAAAAAGCACTGGTCAGATATTAAGCAGACAGATGCTCTGTAGAAGCCTGGCACCCAGCATCTCCTGCAGCCCAAACCAAATGCACATAGTGGTCAATGTCCAGAGACTGGAAGAGTAGAGTCATGAAGTTGAAAGTGACCAACAGAAACCAGATATACTCTAGCTCCTGAATGTAATCACATCATTGATGATGAAGTATGCTAAATAACATCTATAACAATTTTATGTCAGAAGAAGATTCAAAACAGTTTTTACCCAAGAAGAATAAAGGGCTTTTTTAAACTACCTCAACTGAGAGGTGGAGATGAGATGAAACATCATTATAAAAAAATGAATGCTGCTATATGTGACTGTCAGAGTTATGGAAGCATGAGAATTAACCCCAAATCTCCAGGAATGTTAAGTAATGAAATCATCATGGAATCTTCAATGACATTATGTATTAGATTACTGCAAAAGCTCATAGAGAATGTTATATAGCTACTTAAAAAGCTATCAAATCTATATTTGGCATACATAACTTATATATTCCTATACAAATATAACTTGCCATACATATATAAGTAAATTACAGTCGCAGGTGCCTTGAAAATATTGAATCAGCAACACAGAGATGACAAATCTGGATTTTTTCCCCCTAAATTTGACTGTCTGTTCAGCAGATTAGCTTTCAGAATTCTGGTCTTATTTTTAAAACATGAATCTTGTGCTCCTTTGAAGGAATGCTAAATTGTTATATATATATACAAGCACACAGATATAGAGAGGCATAGAAGAATTCTACAGATATGAATGCCAGCTTACATCAGTATTCTTTTTTGATTTCACATATGTTTTGATACAAGATGCTAATGCTCTTGAGACACATCGCTCATGGACAGTGTACTTGCAAACTAAAAGAAAAATGTAGTTATGAAAAGTTTTGCTAAATAAATATGAATTTTCAATGGCCTATTCACTACTCATTCTTCTACAGTTCATCTACAAAGAATTATATCCAGTTAACTCTAAAAGAGAAAAGACAGTCCAGTAAAGAAAATAACATATTAGCAGAGTTGGAGAAGAATCTCAGAGTACTCTTTAATAGCAACTTTTGATTAAATCAGCTTTCACTAAGCTGTTCACAATAATTCCTAAATCAAATCAAATAAATAGAAGAAATTTAATTGGCAAATGCCAAATGTTTTCCTGTCATCTGCCAAGATGAAGAAATCTATACTTTCTAAACTATAGGCATGAAAGCAGCTGGTACAACCGAATATGAAGGGCAATGAGTTTGTCTTTCTCTAAATGGCTAATTAGTCTTGTTTCCACATAGTAGTTTATTTCTTTATTTTTGATTTGTTGTCAATATCTTCATTTCAGAAAATTAATTGCAACTATTGCAAACTTTACTATTTTTAAAGAAACACATTTTCCATTCTGATAATATTCAGATTTGATTTCACAAAACATCAGCATTATATTTTTGAATTGATGAAAGTTAAGATTGATGTGTCTCTGTAACAAAGGTTTAATACTATATTTTACAAAGAGTAATGAAGTTATAGCAACTAATTTTGTTTCAGGGGAATCATTGCCTTATTAATGAAGAACCAACCTAAATTAAAATAATAAAATAACATAAGATAATAAAATATATCTTCCTATTTACAAATGTTGCTGCCTTTTTCTTCAACTGAAGAAACTAAGGCAGCAGGAAGAGTGTCCAGTCTTTAAATGGTCTACTCAGTCACCCCGACTCTACCCGAATTAAGGAACTATAGAGTTATAAAAAGAAAAAAAAAACTAAGGAAAGGCTTTACAATCAAACCTAATACTATAGAGAGTTATTAATCAATAGCCAAAAGAAAGCAATAGCTGATGGTCAGAGAAGGAGATGCTTAAATTCTCCAGAACTTTTTGCTCACCACAGTATAATAAAATTTCTACCAATATCTCAGAAATAATAAATTTACTATTTTATCTGGTAATAAAGAATCAGAAGATGCCCATAGTTGGGTGGAAGGTACTTAATAGTACCTTTTGAAAATTTTAATTTTTAAAAATTTAACACAACATCAAACAGGAAGATGAAAACAGAGAAAGAATATAATATTTTGTTCAACCTCTTTCCTTCCTCTAGTTGCATTCTAAAGTGGATAAGACTGAAGAAGGGCAATTCTTCAAGTGTCTGTATTCAAGCAAATTTGCCTGTGAAGCTGCATTTTAAATTGGTGCCATTGCTTCTAAGAATAGATGCATTTTTATCTATATCTGTACCAAAGAAGAAACTCTGTCTTTTTCATGTTTCATCAGGGGAATGGCATGGAGAGCATAAGAAATAAAGTTATCACTAAAATAAATAAAAAAATAAAAAAAATGCTAAATGATGGAAGTAAGTGCCATAGAAAACTATGAGCTATGTGAGATAACGGACAGATTATGCTGAGTTTTTATATTAATTTCATATACTATATTATCTTAATGGCAAAACACTGAAATGAATCAAAGCTACCTCACCTGTCCACTATTAATAAGCATTAAAACCTGCCTTTCTTTCAATGAGAATTTAAGAGGAGATTTAGAATTAGGTTATATATGTCATTGGCTTTCTGGTATGCCCAGTTAACAGAAAGATTTTGAAATTGGTAAGATGGAATTTGTTGTGGAATAGGGTACAAATGATGATCATATTATTGCTAGAATCTAAAAAAATCTTACTAAAATGGAAATAGGATGAACAAGTAAAGGCAGTATGATCTGGGTAAATTTTTGATACAATATATTTTTCGGAAATGTTACCAAAAGTAGGCACATTTTTAATCTTTTGTGGATATGTAAGAAAGCTAGAGTATATTGGGATCAAATCAGTGGTGGGATTCAGCCAGTTTGCACCAGTTCGGCAGAACCAGTAGCTAATTTTTTGTTGGCCAGGCCTAGAATGGACTTCCGGAAGTGACATCCACCAGAGAACCGGTTGTTCACATATTTGAATCCCACCACTGGACCAAATATGAATTCTGATTCTGAAGATTTTAAAGATAAACGTATGACTGAAACCAGAGCCTTTCCTTTGGGGGTTAATGGATAAACAGATTGGGAGATGTTATAGAAATTTGTTTTTATATGTGATAAATAAATAAATAAAACAGTTAGATTTGCTGTGCAAAGGTGAGAGGATTTACAAAAGCCTAAATTGGACAAATGGATAATTATGATGGAATTGACAGAGATGGAAAAATTGACAGCTTCCAGGACTGATCAATTTTAATTTTACTTGGAAATCTCTTTTGGACTTTTTTGCAAGAAACTGAGAAAAATTAAACTTTGATTTTGGTATTTGATTATTAGAATTACATGGAGTTATAAAGTAACGTAGTCTATTTTTAATTTTAGTTGCTTGTATTTTTATCTATATCTGTACCAAAGAAAGCTGGAAGTTATTTCTTTTCTTCTTGTTTTACTTTTTCTTTCTGCATCTTTATTTTGCTTTTTGTCTAATCTTCACTTTTTTCTATCTTCTTTTTCTTTGCTTATTTAATTTTGTTCATGTTGTTGAAACTTAATAAATTGTAAATATAAAAAGTAGCATTAAAAGAGGACTAGAAGATGTATGTTGTTTTAATTTTCTAATAGACTATAATGTGCCTGTAAGCAGAACCTGGTTCAAGAGCCATTTACAGTACTAAGATATACAGCATTTGGTCCTGGAGTTTGAGTACCAGAACTGAACTGAGCTCACAGACTATTCATGCAATAATTTGCACTAATGAAATTGTGGAAGCTACCTTCATTTCAGAAGTAATTAAGAATAAAAGGAAAGCTATTTTGTCAGTGCTGCTATTAATTCAATTAACGTCAGAAACGTTTCTTCTGCCCATCTTTGCATTTAAAGATCAGGGAATGAATCATGATGGGATGGAGAGAATAAGAAATAAACTTATTGCTTAAAACAAAATAAATAAATAACAAAGCTAAATGAGGGACCAAAAAAGAAGAAGACTGGAAATAAAGAAATACAATATAAGGTAAAACAAATCCTGGCAGATGACTTACTTAAAATCTGATCTGAGCACTTTAACAAATACAGATATTATTTGTTAAGTTCCACAAAATAAGGCAATGGCTGCAACTTGCAGAATTTTGATTTCGAGCTCGGCAGTAACATCTAAATGCTAAAATATACCAAGTAAGAGATATTGGTTTTAGTCCTCTACGTAGCATGATACAGGACCTTCTTTTTAAAAGGCAGAATCAACTCTACTCTGGCAGAGTCAAACTTAACTGTAAGCCTTGTCCCATATAGTTTGCTGAATATGACCTCTAGACTCATTAATATATTTTTCCCATATGTGTGTGTGTGTGTGTGTGTGTATTTGTTACATCCACACAAATCAATATATTGTAATTGTTTTATCTGTTTTATTGATGTGCTATACTGGATATTTACAAAGGGTGTGAACAACTGCACACACAAATTTGGGCAGCACCCAAATACAATATTTATCTGCACTTTCTCATTTAAGGCTACTCACAATGGTCTAATCTAAAAGCTCTTGATCCAAAAATCCCTGTGCCCCTATCAATCATTTTGTCCAGATAACATTCAGAATTAACCAGGATGCATACTCACACGAATAAGAGAGACCCTGTTTGCCTAATCCTATGAGCATATTCAAACAGAGATTACAGTAGGCAGGCTTGTTAAAGTGTTTTAGTCTCCATACATGCTGCCCATCATCCTTCACATTCTGCAGAACACATAAAAAGAAATGGATTTCATTTAATGGCATAAACAGAAAAATCTTTAAGTGCCAATAAAAATTGAAATTGACTCAAGAATATAAAAGACAATCTGCTTCTTCATTTATTAATTTTCAAGTGATTACAACATAATTTTTCCAAACAGACATGTAGAGATATGATAGCAAAATGGGAGACGTGGGGGAGGTGGAGCTAAAAACTCTAAATTTTTTTAGAATTGTTAATAAAATGATTTGCCCAGGTAACATGCACACAACCATATCCCAAAAGATAGACTATATGTTTAGGGTTTATTCGGCTACAGCTACAAATTCAAGGCCCCCCTTCTGCATAGGGCTTTTTTGGGGGGGAAACCCACATTATTTTAGTATTGCCTTTTATCTTTTCCATAAGTTATGAATGAATAATGATGAATATTTAATAAAAATAAAATTGTCACATTTTTACTTAAATAAAACTAAGTTCAATAAACAAAAAGTCAAGAAGACAAGACTTTCATAATAAAGTATTTGTTTATTAAACTGAACTTGAATTAATTGAGGAAGGTGTCAGAACCCTCAATTATTAATCCCTTATATTCTCTGTGTTTAAGCTGTTTGAGTTCTGCCATTATCCTATGGGGGGAGGGGAAGACCAGGGGGCTGTAGTGCAGATGGAATGTTTCCTCTGTCTGCTTTGATGTATCCTCTTTGGGGTGTGAAAGGAATGCCTTGGGGCCATCTGCCTTATCTCAGTGTGGAGGGAGGAAACAGAGAAGACCTAACAACCTTGAGAGAGGCGCCTTATTGGTTCGTTTCCCACAGCTCAATGATACCTATGGATTGGCCTATTTGAACTGGCCGGATGGACAGTTGGGATGGGGTTATGATTTTACCTATTCATTCAGGTGGGAAGTCCTGAGATCCTGCCTAACATTCCTGCTGTCTGTATCTGCCAATAAAAGTTCCTTTTGAAATGATACAAGTTTCAAGAGTTCTGCTTTCTTGGTAGGGAAACGGAGGCAGGTCCTTACAGAAAGTGTATTTATACATAACTATTAAGTGTTGCCATTTATTCAAAAGAATGACCACTATACATGAACAGAACATATGGACCAATCTAGTTGGCATAAAATACAATATATTCATTTAGAAGATAGTGTACTAGACTTCTGGTCAAGGTATTACTCAAGGGACAATGGTCTCTAGAACTGCTTACAGGGACTTTTTTCAACCAGATCTTTTTTTTTAAAAAAAAAAAAAAACAACCTTGTGTTTTTACATACATTCTGGAATTTAAAATTATTATTTTATATAACATTGCATTATTTTAATATAATAAAATGCCATCTTTAACCCTAGCATGTCTTATCCCATGTCAGTGTGGGTCTTCACTACATATATATTTTCTTTATAAATTCACTTGAATAAAATTTTAAAATCATTTGCCCTGATCATTATTAAGGTCAAGTGCTTTAGAACAGGGGTCCCCAACCCCCGGTCCATGCACTGGTACCGGCCAGCAACCAGTCCATACAAAATAGCAAAGCCCCATCTGTGGGATGAATGCAGCACACAAAACCACGCACTCTCCAGTCCATGGAAAAACCTTTCTCCAAGGAACTGGTCCCTGGTGCCCAAAATGTAGGGATCTCTTTAGAGAAATGAATGTTCCACAGCTAAGAAAATGGAAGCACTTTCACTTTGCTATATTTACCTACTGAAATAAAAGAAACAATGCAATTGTTAATGAAACTAGAATATAGACTGAAGGTTAATATTGGCAACATATAGTAATGAATAATTTTGGAAAATCAATGAGTCCTAACAAATTATGGAATTTAACATTTTATAGATAACACTGGCTTTATCAAATCTAGGATTCAGCAAAGAGATTATTTTACAAGTAGAAAAAATATGCTAATGATGTTAAAGAGTGATTCAATAGTTCCCTATTAATTTTTAAATGTATTTACATTATAAAAACAATATGAAGGAATACATTTCTATATGCTTTAGATTTAACTATATATGAAAACATTGAGTTAGATCCATATCATTATTATATTAAACTCTTTTTTCTTCAGATTTAGTTCACTTTATTGCCCACATGTTCAATCTTTTTAAACTTTTTTTAAAATATATTTTGTTATATAGATTTTGTATTCTACTATTTCACCAAAAATGTTGCTTTACTATAATATAAATTTTAGTTATGTATCAACTTTTAAAAAAAAATGTTTACAGACAATCCCAGATTAAAAATAGGTTTCATTCCTAAGTCTGTCTTTAACTCATATTTGTATGTAATTTGGAACTGGTATTTAAAAATGGATTGCTTATTATTAAAAATGGCAGACTGCATTTTATTTCTTTGAGCTAATGAAGTTCTGAAACTATACATTGATTTCAAGAACTGCTAAAAACCACTATAAGTAGGCTGTATATTTAAAAGGCACAGCTTCAGCTGTTCATGAAAATATTGTACAACTTTAGTCATTTATTGCTCAAGGAAGGAGAATTTTCGGTGATAGAAAGCCCATTGGTGTGTAGTGGAGTGCCCCAGGACTCTGTTCTGGGCCCAGTGCTCTTCAATATCTTCATCAACGATTTGAATGAGGGGATAGATGGGAACATCAAATTTGCAGATGACACCAAGCTGGCAGGAATAGCCAACACTCCAGAAGATAGGCTTAAGATACAGGAGGATCTGGACAAATTTGAACACTGGGTGCTATCTAACAAAATGAAATTCAGTGGTGAAAAAAGCAAGGTTCTACATTTAGGCAAGAAAAACCAAATGTACAGGTATAGTATAGGGGATAGCTTGCTCAATAGTAGTAACTGTGAGAGGGATCTCGGAGTCCTAGTGGACAATCACTTAAATATGAGCCAGCAGTGTGCTGCAGCTGCCAAAAAAGCCAACACAGTGCTGGGCTGCATTAACAGAGGGATAGAATCAAGATCATGTGAAGCATTAATACCATTTTACAATGCCTTGGTAAGGCCATACTTGGAATACTGCATCCAGTTTTGGTCACCACGATGTAAAAAAGATGTTGAGACTCTAGAAAGAATACAGAGAAGAGCAACAAAGATGATTAGGAGACTGGAGGCTAAAACATGTAAGAAACGGTTGCTGGAATTGGGTATATCTAGTTTAACGAAGAGAAGGACAAGGGGGGACATGATAGCAATGCTTCCAATATCTCAGGGGCTGCCAGAAAGAAGGACTCAAGCTATTTTCCAAAGTGCCTGAAGGCAAGACAAGAAGCAACGGATGGAAACTAATCAAGGAGAGAAGCAACCTAGAACTAAGGAGAAACTTCCTGACAGTTAGAACAATTAACCAGTGGAACAATCTACCTCAAGAAGGGTGAATGCTCCAACTCTGGAAGTTTTTAAGAAGAGACTGGACAGTCATTTGTTCAAAATGGTATAGGGTTTCCTGCCTGAGCAGGGGATTGGACTAGATGACCTCCAAGGTCCCTTCCAACTTTTATTATTATTGTTGTTGTTGTTATTATTATTATTATTGATCATCACACAGTCAGCCAGATGTTCAGACTGGATTTGGCATTTTGTCTACCTATTGAGTCCTTACCAAGGACCTGGGATAAGCAGATGTGGATGTTTGATGGTATTACAGATATCGTCGCAAGATGGAAGCAGTTCCTAGTAAGGCCGCCTTTTGCAATTGACTAATGGCAAATTTGTCAATGTCAATGATGTTCAAGTGGTGCTCCAGTTGTTTTGGGATTGCACCCAAGGCACCTATTTCTATTGGTACTACCCTTGTTTGCTTTTGCCACAATCTTTCTATTTCTATTTGTAAGTTTTTGTATTTTGTTATCTTCTCCAGTTCTTTCTCGTCTATTCTGCTGTTTCCAGGCACTGCCACGTTCACTATCCAGACTTTTTTGTCTTTCTTATCAACAATTGTTAAGTCTGGGGTGTAATGTTGCAGGTGCTTGTCTGTTTGAATTCTGAAGTCCCAGAGCAGTTTAATTTTATCATTTTCTATGACTTTCTCTATTTTATGATCCCACCAGTTCTTGCTTACAGGCAAATGATATTTCTTGCAGATCTTCCAATGCACCATTGTTGCTACTTTGTCATGCCGCTGCTTGTAGTCAGTCTGTGTGATCTTCTTGCAGCAGCTTACAGGTGGTCCATTGTTTCTTCAGCTTCTTTGCATAGGCGGCATTTACTGTCTGTTGCTGTCTTCTTAATTTTGACTTTATATGCATTTATCCTTAAGGCTTGGTCTTGTGCAGCCAGAATTAGTCCCTTGGTCTCTTTCTTCAATTTTCCTGTTCTTAGCCATTGCCAGGTCTTTTTATTATCTGCTTTCCCAGCTATTTTTTTTTAATGTACTGGCCGTGTAGTGCTTTGTCTTCCCATGCCTCTATTCTGTTCTTCATTTGGTCTTTCTTGTAGGCCAGTTTGATCTCTCCAGTAGTCAGTAAGCCTTCCTGACATACTAATTTCAGTGCATCTTCATCACTGTCCTTCAGATATTCTTCCAAAGCCATTTTTTTCTTCTTCAACCATCTGATATACTTGCAGCATTCCACACCCACCTATTTCCCTTTGTAGATAAAGTCTGTCAATGTCACTGCGTGGATGAAGGGCATGATTTCTTGTCATTATTTTTCTGCTCTTCCTATCCATTGCTTTTAGTTCTGCTTGAGTCCAGTCCACTATTCCAGCTGTGTATCTAATGACTGGAATTGCCCAGATGTTGATTGCCTTTATGGTATTTCATCCATTGAGTTTGAACTTTAAGATCTTCTTCACTCTCTTGATGTATTCACCTCTAATCTTTTTCTTGACTTCAGTGTGCTTGATGTTGTCAGCTTGAAGGATACCCAAGTATTTGTAGTACTCTTCCTCATCCAGACTCTTAATGTTATTTTTGTGGGGCATCTTGATTCCTTCAGTTTTCACTATTTTTCCTTGTTTGATAGTAAGTGTGGTACATTTGTCCAAGCCAAACTC